CAAATCAATACGATTTAATCCACATTTGTGTCTTGAAGCAGTAGCTTATCTGAAGAGCCTGTGTAATTTTAAAGGATAGAAAGACAAAGGCAGAGGAACTAGGTAATGAGAGACTACCTGATTCAAAAGCAGCTTTTAAAAAAAGTATTGATGGACTCTTCCTCCATTTAAATAGAGATAAATGTCAATAGTGACTGCTTCTGAGACACTGCATGCCTTGCTGACCTCTCCTTTGAGAGATTTAAGGGGATATAAAGGGAGTTGATGTGCTGGTAGCTACTAAGTCTTTTGGCCTATGAAGCACATACTCAGACATGGTCACAGATGCAGTATTTAATTGTTCAAAAAATCATTTTCTGAAAGCAGGTATAGTTTGAGGCAATAGCAGCTAGAGTTAATATACTCCAGAACTGCAGTGGCTTTAGCTGCTCCAGATGTTTGAGGACCTTTGTGAGGTTCATTCCCTGTTGGCTGTGGCAGCCTTGCCAGTTAAAAAACTGCTGAGGATATGTGTGTGGCTTAACTTCTGTGTCATCCAGCGATAACACAAACCTGATCCCACAAGTAGAGATAATTTCCAGCAATCATTGTTTCTGTGTTTCCATGGTTACTGGGAAGAGAAAAAAAATCAATTTTTGCTTCATGAAACTACACAAAAAAGGAACGTTTCCCAAAATCTGTGCAAGGTTAAAATTAAATTGTGAGCAGACAATACGGCCATTTTCCCTTCATGTGTGCCGTCTCTTTACTCTCTTTCCACCTTTTCCATCACTTCTGACCTGCACAAATCCCAGGAGCTCCGCAGAAAAGCTGCTCCTCAGAAATAATCCCAAGGGGGGCAGAAATCAAACTCTGTCCTATGGGGTCACAGAGGGACTTCAAGTATCGTTCATTCAAAAAGAAAGAAAGAAAAAAGAATACTGATTCCAAGGTCTAAAGGGTTTGTTATTTATATAAATGCAGCTAGAGCTGATGTGGCAGAAGTGACAGTAACCTTCTGCTCCATTTTCACAGCAAGTCTGCCTACAAGGGCCAGTATAATTATTTGTTGAACCTACCGACTACAAGTAGGCTTAGTGTGCAGTATTTAATGAAACCTCCATAGAAATGTGTGTTGTTACACCCAAGAGTAGGGTTTTGTTTCAGTTTTCAAGCCCGGTGATCCCTATATCACATAAGAGAGCAAAGTGATGGGTCCTGAGTTAGTAACCAGTTTGTGCTAACAGGTTTGTGAAATTCATGCAGCGCCATGCAAAGGCCCAAGCTTGGATCCACATGAGCTGTATGGCTATTTTAGGTCAGTGCATCTGAACAGTTAGCCCTGCTGCTCTGAAGAGTGTTACAAAGACACAGTGTAATACTGGTCTGAACAGACTTCAAAGGCATCTAGTTCACTTGGGTGTATTTTAGTGCCTTGCAAAAGGCACATGAAGGAATAAATTCAAGATAGTCCAAATGTCCCTCCTGGTGTTTTGATGGCTCCCACTTTACATCACAAAAATCTCCACCATCTATTTGGAGAAGTGAACCAGGCAGTTTGCAAGACCTTTTCTAGAGACCTCTCTTCTCCATCTTCTGTGGTTTGCTGGAAAAATGTACTTTACTCAAACTACCCACTCATCGTATTGCTCTTGTTACTATTTATACCACAGCAGCATGTAAGTGCCTTAGACAAACAAGACTATAAAGACTGGAAATGAACTGCTTGAAGAATTTGCAATACAAAAGATGTGCAAATGTAGAAAGGAAAATGAAAATGCTAAGATGTGAAATCACTTGCCCCAGTTCCCAGAGATCAGGTATCCCAGTGCTTGTCTATTTTATTAGGACTTTGTCCTTTCTAGTTTGTTGCTGTCAAATGTTTTATTTCCTTCATGAGATTCACACACACAGAGACACTGCATGAGACATCCCAGGAACAGGATTAAGCATATTTCGCCCTGGCATATATTCCATCTGGAAAAATGAAGTTTTTGAAATCAGAAGGCAGTTTTGCTAGCATCAGACACCCATTGTCTCCTGCCAGGAAAATGCCTGCAGGGTGACCATAATGAGAGGTGGAAATACCTCACTTCCTCCTCAGGTGCCTTCCTGAGTTCGCTGATCTCAGTCTGGGTTCAGACATTGTGAGTCTGGAAAACAGACTTCAGCAGTGCTTCACATCACAGCAAGTGACATGCAAAGAAGTTACAAAGCTGCTCTTTTATCCCCCCAAATGTTGACATCCTATTGTTTCTTTGCAAATTATATTTTGAAAAAAAAGGAAGTAGTTAAACTCCTGTTCAACTCCTGTTCATAGTAAATGCAAGAACTACCAGTGTTTATGTGATGGTGACTTCAGAATTTGTACCAGGTTGTGTTTTTCTATCAGCTGTATCAAGTGTCACTGAGAAGCAATGCTGGAAGTTCAAAAGACAAGCAGTGAAAAATATTCTTCTAACATGTTCCTGTCATGTATGCTGTGAGTGCACTAATTTTTGCTCGAACAATGAAACAGGGAGACCTGTAAAACAACAATCCCTTTGTAATGGGATTCTGCACGTAGCGTCCTGATACAGTCTTGTCTGAGATGTGAAGGGGCCCTGCCAGTGTGATAAATACTATTTTTAGGAACAAGATGAGGGGAAATATTAGCCCGGTGAAACCACGTGAGAGCAGCAGAATGTGACAAGTGCTGTGCTATATCTCAGCCTGTGCTCAGCCAGGCTGGGGTGTTTTGCCGATCGAGGTCACTCTGTGCACACACAGGGAATGGGGAAAGGCAGGCGATGGGTGAAACACAGCGCTCCCTTGACATGCCCGGGCAGCTTTGGAAATAGCTGTGGACATGCAAAACCCAGGGCTGGTGCTGCCTGGCAATTTGCTGCTGAAAGCACATGGGGAGTTGCCACTAACAGACCTGCTGCTGCTGTAAATTAGAGTTGGTCAGTGTAATCTCATTTCTAAGCTGTCTCCAGAGGTGGGAGGGGAAAGGCAGGGCTCTCTGTGAGCTGGGGAGCTTGGCTGCGGAGCAGCAACGCATATCTCCAATAGTGAGCTCCTGGCACCAGGAGAGATGGCATCTCTCTGCCATCATGCCTCTGCCCCAGTCTGGTGACGGGGCAAGAAGGTGGAGCAGGAACACACCCTGCATCTTCTATCCTGTTACTTTGTGGGGAACACACAGAAAAGATTCTTTTGCCTCTGCATTTCATCTGTGAAGCCTCTGCCTCATGCTGCTGTCAGCATCCTTCAGCATGGGTGAGACACAGCATCCCCTGGCATAGGCCTCTCAGTGTAGCGGGAGCAGGGTGCTGTCACTGCTTCTTTGCTTCCAGCCTGGCTGGTGATGGCTATTTTGGTCTGGAGACCAGGGAGAGATTTTGGATCACGCCAAAGATGGCATGGCAGAAGGCAATGGTGCAAAAGCACAGGAGGTGGGGGGCACTCAGATGCACACAGGTGTTCAGTGGGGCTGAGCCACAGGGGTGAACGGTGGTTTCTTGCTCCTACAAGGGCCACTGGGTACAGGAACAGATGTAAGGAAGGTGGCCTAATGGTACCCACTGGTCTTTAGCTTACCTTCCCCACTGCTCACTGCCCTTCCCGTGGAACAAAGTGTGGAGACGCAGGGGCACAGGGTGGAAGGTGCTGCTTATGTGTGGGTGTTAGTTGAGGCCATGGCTGTGCAGGTAGGTGGGTTCCATTTAATGACTGCTGCAAGAGCCCAGCTGTGTAATTGAGGCTGTGCCAAGGACAAGGGAGCCCAGCTGCCCTGCATGTGCCCCCCAGAGAGCCTGGGGACATGGCAGGTGCCTGCAGGGGGGACGGGCAGGGCAGCCCTCCCTGTGCAGCACCCACTGGGTAAAAGCACAGCCACAGCCCATCACAGGGCAAAGCTGCTCAGCTCACATGAATTAAATCATGCCAGAATCAGAGCACCTAACTAACCAGCAATCAGTGGACTTGACATTCAGGTCTGATATTAACAACACAGCAGATAAACTGCATTACCAGACACTTAGCAAATGTTAGTAAACACCAATAAAATCCTATAGAATCATAGAACCATAGAATGTTTTGAGTTAGAAAGGACCTTAAAGATCATCAAGTTCCAACCTCCCTGCCACGGGCAGGGACACCCTCCACTAGACCAGGTTGCTCAAAGTCTCATCCAGCCTGGCCTTGAACACCTCCAGGGATGGGGCATCCACAGCTTCCCTGGGCAACCTGTGCCAGTGCCTCACCACCCTCACAGTGAAAAATTTCTTCCTAATGTCTAGTCTCAATCTACCCTCTTTCAGCTTATACCCATTACCCCTTGTCCTGTCATTACACTCCCTGATAAAGGGTGCCTCCCCATCTCTCCTGGAGGCCCCCTTCAGGTACTGGAAGGCTGCTATTAAGTCTCCTCAGAGCCTTCTCTTCTCCAGGCTGAACAACCCCAACTCTTTCAGCCTGTCCTCATAGGGGAGGTGCTCCAGCCCTCTGACCAATTTCGTGGCTCTCCTCTGGACTCTCTCCAACAGGTCCAGGTCTTTTTTATGTTGGGGTCCCCACCGTTCTAACCCCAAAACCTTGCAGTCACCCACACTGACACACGAATGCATGCGTCTTTGCAGTGTGGGCTACACACATATCATGTCCCTGAGACCAGCTGCTTCTCCAGCCTGCCCCAGACAACCGCCTGCTGCCTCAGTCTCTACCCAGCACCACAGCCAGCTCGGTGCAGGCATGCTCTGCATGGAGCTGTTTTCCCACAGACAGAAGCATGACCATCCTCTGGGCCTGCAAAGTGTCCTCTTTCTGTCTAGGCCACTGCTGAGTCTTCTGTTCTTCATTATCCAGTTATCAGGAGTCAGTTTAGCAGAATTACAGGCTCCCCCTATGTGCCTTCCTGACTTGGGGTTTTGGCTAGCTTTACTCCTCTTGTTTTGGGAATCACTGGTTTATCTCTGCAAAAGCAGGCTCCTCCTGTGAAAGCATACAGCTAGTGTGCATGGATTTTGCAGAAAGATCTTTTATTCTGTGGATCTGCTGGCAATTGCTCCTGGGTCAATCTCAGAAGTGTCTCTGTGAAGGCTCTCCCTCTTTGAGATGTGACATTCATTTTCATGCAGAGTCTCGGTGTTCTGCTCCACAGAGAAATGCTCTGGTGTGGCTGCTATGATGATGGGCACCCTGCCCACGATGGTGGATGTGGCACAAGTAACATCAGAGGTTCCTACCAGCTCGTACCTGAACGCCACGATTTTATTTTCCTTGAGAGTGCTGGTGACAGGCATGGGTTTTGGCAGAACCAGCGCACTGGTAACTCTCATGGCCTCAAAGGGGGCCGTGTCTGTCTGGGACTCCAACCTTGTCACTTCACTTCGCTCTTCCAAGGAGCGTTGTTCTCCCCTGCTGCTGAAGCCTCTATACAGGACGATACAGTATATAGCAAAAATGACCTTTCTAACATACTTGCATGTCCTGTTGGCAATATCTGTCATGAAGACAATGGTTTCTCCAGGGCAAAATACTCTTTTCTCCAGGGAAATCCGAAGGATCACAGAGCCATGACTGAAGCAGCAGAAATAAACTACATCCTTCCTGACTTCCACCACCAGTGGGGCCTGCATGAAGAGGGTGAGTGGAAAGGAAAAGCATGGTGAGTTCTTGTTGCTGGATACAGGGTGATTCCCAAACACCACATATATAAACTCATAATGCAACAGCTGAGGCTGCTCAACGTTCCTCACAAGTCCCACCATTAACCCAGAGGACAATTTTCCTCACTGCACTGCACATGACATGACTGAATTATCACAGTCCTCCTGAGCATCTGTGCAAAGAATTCATGTGTACACATGTAAACATTGTCACCTTCACTATCCATACCCAAATTTAAAGGGAGGCCACAAAATTAATAGAATCATCATGTTCTAGCTGTTTTGATGACCTTTGACTGACTGTCCCAGTCTAGGTAGAGTTTCGTAAAAAAGGCACCTCCTATTTGGCGATGCTTGCCCACGGTTTAGACTCCAAAGAAAAAGAATAACCTCCATTTCCCTCAGCCTGGATCTCAAAGCACTCCCTACGTGTCACTCTTGGAGTCCTACAATGCACCTTGTGTACTGAAAAAGAAACATCTCGGTGCAAAAGACAAAGATGACAGAAGATATTGAAGCGTCATTTGAATGGTGAAAGGAGGAAGCTCAGAGCTAAAAGTTCATAGACACGCAGTAGTAAGCAGTTATAGCTCTGGATCAGAACAGGAAAAGTCTGTGTGTCTCCAGCTCAGTTTATTCCCCTTACCATGTCTTTCATGTGTCTTCTGTGGTCACCAGTTCCTTGTAACAGTAAACATCTCTCCTCTTTAGCTAAGACAATTTGGCGGCTGCTGCAAGTCCCTTGAACAAGGTAGGAGATGGAGCCAACTTTGCTGATGAACGTGGAGGGAATATTTGGAGGAAAGCTGAAGTGGAAGTCAAAGGTGTGGACTCCAGAATCAAGCCAGCCATCTGAAAGCCAAACAACATGCTGCTGTCAGAAGCCTTTCAAATATTTAGGATGTTTGTACCTTACAGAAACCTTAGTGTTTCTCCCAGAATCCAAGGTGTCCTTACCATCTCGTATTGCACCCAAAGTGCCATAAAGGCATGATATGGGGTGGACTGTGCATCACCTCTCTGGGTCAGCTGCTGGATGTATGGACCTGTACCAGTCAGCAGAGTTGACAACTGCTAATCTGCCTTATTTTATCACAAGGTTAGCAAATCTGCAATTCCTCACAAACTGTTTAGGATTTTCACTTATCAAAATGGAGTGGCACAGACTTTTAAATTTCCTAATAAGTATTAATAGGCTTTTTGGGAGTAAAGTGGTGTCATAACTCTCACTTATCTTTTATCATTGCCTGTGATAACACATAATGTCTGTGATCAACACCTGTGCATATGATTTGAAATGTTTGTTTCACCTGTGCAAAAGACCCCACTCCCAAAAAAAAAGAAAAAAAAAAAAATTGACACCTTCTCTGCACAATGGTGAGACAGGAAAATTATTATCTGTTCCTTCAAATGTCTTTGCTTCTGTGCCACTTCCTCTTAATCAAATTCAGTTTTGTGTGGGTGAGGTCCCACTGCCTGTAATGGAAGACTGTCCCACCTATGCAAGGATGTTTGACCTCTTCTAGCCAGATGAGACTGTCTCTTGACTCTTGTTAATCCAAGACATTTTTATTTTAAACACATGTATCTGCCACCAGTTTGTTGCCCAGACTTAAGCTTTCATTCCTCTTAGCTGCTTGTACTAAAACTTCAGTTTGAACCACAATATTAGGGGATGTCAGATTGCTAGAATTTTGTCCTGCTGTCTGCATCTTTTTGTAGATGAACTCAATGATGTCTCAAGTTTTAATAATCTAAACTGGATATTGTTGGCAGAAGAGCCTGGATATTGTTTCCTCACAGCATGGGAGATTTACCAGATGGCAGAACAGCATTTTCAATCAAACAGAGTTGTAACTCTGAAAAAATAAAATAAAATAAAATAAAAT